TGACATTTGGTTTGTTATGTCTGTTTTATCTTTATATATCTTTTTATAAGCAGAGTTTATGGTGGATTCTATGGTGAGATTTTTCAGACTGTGCTGCAGCAGAGCATCCTCCCCTGATCATGATACTTCCACCTCCGTGGGAGACAATTAATTTAAGGTTCTCTCAGAATATCTGATTATTTCAACACGATTAATGTCGATAGAATAGAATGGAACAGAATAGGATAGAAAATCCATTTATTGTCCCACAATGGGGAAATTCTGGTGTTAACAGCAGCAAAAATATCGCACAAATGTGGACCTGTCCAGGGTGTACCCCGCCTCTTGTCCGTAGACCGCTGGAGATATGCATCAGCACCACTTGCAACTCCACTTGGGGTTAAGCATGTCAGAAAATGGATGAATGGAATTTGTTTTTTAACATTGCCCAGGTACCTTAAGTCCTTATTATTGTTTAGGCAACAAAGCCTGCTTTACTCTGACTTGCTGGAAGTCAAACTGCCCCTGGGATGCTTTATGGCTATAAATTACAGCATTTGAAATGCATTCCAACTGGCTTGGTGGTGTCCCAAAGAACTGTTTGGTACATGCTCAATAATCCTAGATCCACAAGGAGTACAGCTGAGGCTTCAGAATCGTTTAAAACGTCTCTTCAGAAACCCAGGTCCTAACTTCATGCAGCATGTCAATTCATATGAAAAACTAAAACCGTACGGAATCTGTATTAATGGAGCTGTTGACGGATTTTTGTGTATTGTCATACTGCTGCATGCTTACTCCACAAGCAGTAGTTCATGGGTTATAGCCGGGTACTTTAATGATGAAGAAAAACAGGAGCAGAACTCCGTGTATCAGGTCAGACCTGGGTACAGAGCACTGCTCAGTGGAGCAGATTCAGATATTTTTAAGAGGTAATCATGAAGACCAGTTTTCTGAGATATGCTAAATTATTAGCTCAAGTAATCATTATGGGACTTTTTTCACATAATACAAGATACTGATCTCGTAATTATTAAATAAGCTAATTTTTTTTTTCTTTGGTGAATGCTGATTTTTCAACAATACTGAATCATGACATACTGCAACATCAAATATATTGTCCAAATGATATATTAATTCATGATAAAGCTGATAATTTGCACGCCATTGGCAAAATCTGGGTAGTTTTGGAATGCAATTCCAGTACTTAATGAATGTAGTAAAAAAAAAAGTTCAGGTATTCCTGATCGTGATAAAAGCACAAATAAGCAGATTTTCCAAGTAGCTTTTACTGTCAGAAGAAATAAAACAGTACAGACTGAATAAACATGTTTTGTCTAATGGGAAAATAGAAAAAAATGCTTGTCACATCAGGATTTCAACTTCCTTTGATGGTTTTATCCAAACTGCTACCTTTACACTGAAACAAAACTAAATAACTTAAAATGTAGGTATAAATCGAATGGGGAGAAATATCTTCTTCCCCATCTATCCTCCTCAAAGAATTTGCACAACATTCTTTAAAAAAAAAAAAAGTACAAAAAAGATTACCAAAACACAAGGCAAAACTCCAGTTTAAAGACATTAAGGCAACCTGTTTGTGTCAGGTAATAAAACGTAATGCTGCCTTTAATAGAGGAGAAAATGAGGCATCCCTTGTTTTCTAGATGATGACTCAGAATAATGTCATTTGAACCATAAGATGCTGAGCAGCATGGGTCTCATCCAGCCCCCTGATCCAGAGCAGACTCTCCAGCACTCAGTCCTTGTACTCGGTGTATTTCTTGGCCGAGCCATGCACCTTACTCGCTGGATACTTTAGTCGATTCAGCGCCATTTTGCGGAGCACCGCTTGGGGAAGATCGACGCGGCATTTCTCTGCCAGCTCCACCAGGTAGATCAGCACGTCGCTCAGTTCGTGTGCCAGCTGCTCCCTGTCAGACTCGGTCCAGTCTGGAAGCCCCTCCGCCACCTCCCCCTTCCACTGAAAGAGCTCGGCCACCTCGCCCACCTCCCCGACCATAGCGAGGAGCAGGTTCCGGGGCTGGTGGAACTTATTCCAGTCCCGCTCGTCCGTGAACTCGGCCTGCATCCTCCGAATGTCCTCCATGCTGGGCTCCGGGCTGAAGGCGAACCTCCGCGGGCGTCCTTCCGCTCCTCTGAAGCCGGACTGGGCCTCCTGGGCTGCTCCATCCACCGTAGCTGGTTCCGCGCAGCTCCCGTTTAAAGAAACGTCAGCTTCCAGTCCTCTGGAGTCTTTTCCGTTTGTTGCCATCATGTTTTGGCAGCTTGTAGTGCAAAAATAAGCTTTTAACGTCGGAAAACAACCAGCTCGTAGATTTCTACCATGTGAAGAAGTCCCGCCAGTTGGTAGAACGGAAGTGACGCATTCTTCTTCTTCGTTAGATTGGCGGATTGCAACCAACAAACGGAAGTGACGCATTCTGAACGGAAGTGTAGTTTTAAGCTACAGCCCCGTTCTCTTTCATATTAAAGAGCTTTAATCAAACTACAACTCCCATAATCCCCTGACTGACTCTGGTATCATGGCTGCCTCCTGTATGGCAGCTAGTGAGCTGCTTCATAACATCAAATTAATACATTTTGTTAGACGAACAAGCTCTTCAAGGCTACATTTTAGCAGTCAACTTCTGCAGGCCCAAAGGTAACAATTACCATATTTATATTAATCTAAATTGTTCAAATTTGATGTCATAGTGTTTAATGTGGAATGTAATGGTGCAAAAACATTTTTAATTCTCTAGTTCAGGGGTGCTCAAGTCTACTATCCTGCTCCTTTTTGATGCAGCCCATTTTTAACACACCTGAATCAAATGAGAGGCTCATTACCATGCCTGAGTTAAATGAGAAGATTGAACCTTTAGATTCAGGTGTGTTATAGAAGAGACGCATGTAAAAGGTACAGGATGGTAGCTCTTGAGGACCTCTGCCCTGGTTATTTAATGGGGTTATTGTAGGTATCTATGAGCAGTCAGTGTTTTACCTGCAGTAAGCAGAGTTTGGCTGGTTGTACTAAACTGTGTTCTGTTAAGAGAAAGAAATCAATCAGATGCAGATTTACGTTTTAATGAAAAATCCTTTTTAAATTTAAGTGTAGCAATACTGAGAGAGCTGTATGTTGATGATTTTTAAAGGGCTGCACCATATTAAGGTATTTGGGAGCGCTACTATTGCAAAATGACTTAAAATAAATAAGGTGTGGTAGTGTCTTTCGTCTTTTAATATAGCAAATTTAAATCCAAGCTAATGAACAGTCTGCTGTGAAGTCACTGCCGTATCATTGCATTATAGAATTTTATGGAGCAGCTAAGGTGTAACAGATACAATGTGTATAAATGTGTCGTTACACCCCTAGTTAAAAAAAATGGTCTAAAATCAAAAGAATAAAATTAACACAAAACATTTAAAACAACTTTCAAGTAAATCATCTACAATATTAAATTTCCTCTTTAACTGAAATTGTAAGATAATCCAAGCAGTAAATAGAAATGTTTTCTTTCTGTTATGTATCACAGGGATCCACAGCAGCTGGTCGGAGTGGTCGGTTTGGAAATACACGCCCAGATTAGCTCAAACACCAAACTGTTCTCTGGCTCCTCGGTTCAGTTTTTAGCTCCTCCAAACTCCTTGGTTTCATTCTTTGATGCTTCTTTGCCTGGCACACTACCCGTGAGTGATATTATTACCGTATCCATAATCAGCTGGAAACTGGTGAAATGTTCTACTTCTAGATCAGATGTTTATTTTCCAATTTGTTTGAAGGTTCTCAACAGGCGGTGTGTTGAAGCAGCAGTGATGACAGGACTGGCTCTCAACTGTACCATCAATAGGAGATCCCTCTTTGACAGGAAACACTACTTTTATGCTGACCTTCCTGTGAGTATGCATGTTCTTTATGTTTGTTATAGTATATGTCAGTCAGAGGTAGAAAGGCATTACTCCAGGGGCTATAAAGAATTATCTTCCAGTGTTTGCTGGCATGGATGCTTATTTGCTTGTGTGTTTTTATAATAAATTGTGATGGGATGTAATGAGATTATTAGTTAAAACTGAGGAGAAATACCCCAAAAGTATCTTTATTTTAAAATAATTTAATTAGAGCTGAATTTTTTGTTGAGGGATACATTTGGACATCCCATATTTATCAACATATAAAATTTTTAAAAACAAATGTGGATAATGGGAACATTATTAAATAGCATTTTGAAGGTTTGTCCTGTTTAAACCTCAGACATTTATTTTGGCACTCTGGTTCCTGACTGTTAAAATGAGAGTGAACACCATGGAGAGATCTAGAGAGCTGCCTGGGGCCTTCAGGAAAGAGACTGGAGCAGCTTATGGGTCTGGTAATGGATTTAAAGTTGATGTCTCAAAAGAACGTAAAATCATCCTAATGCAAGGAAAACAAAATAGCAGGAAGAGGTAAAAAAAAAATCACCACTGGACCTACAGAAGACTATTTCAGCCGTTATTGTGATTTCAACCCCTTGAAATCAGACAGAGACCACACAATCAAACTTTAATGGGTAGTTTGAAACGTAGACTCTTTGACAATCACGAAGACCAGGCTGAAGCTTGCTAGAAAGGATGTACCGTAAACAAAACTTAGATCCTGGACTAATGTATTTTCGACCTACCAATCTAAAGCTGAATTGTAAAACAACATCGAGGACGTGGTTTGTTTCATAAACCAAACACAGCATTCAGGGAAAAGAACCTCTCATGCTGGGTTCACATGGTAAGATAACAGTACAGGTTTTTGTGCTTACTTTCACCTTCAGAGATGCTCTAATTATTGTGACAGCTCTTAGAATAATGTTTTGATATAATCTTGGTGTGTGTTTTTTTTAAGGGTGATCATGTCTGTGTTTAAAGACATGGAGACTGCTCCAAAAACAAATCAGGGATTTCCAGCATACAGATGCCTTAGCGCATTTGGTGTTCTCTGAGCTCAGATGAGGACGAAAGCTGTCGAATATGACGTGAAGTCATTCCGAAAGATCTTCTCACCAGTTTAGTCAACAGATCCTTTGCTTTTTTACCAACACTTTTTTTTATTGAAATTCACTTTCTGTTACAATAAGTCCACTAAATATCAAATACACCATTGCGACTTTCTTGTTGGCCAGCTCATGTACTCCAAACTAGGGCTGGACAATAATTTATGAACAATATATATCGATCGATAGTCCTGTGGCGCAATAGAAAAAAAAGAGGGTCGATAAAAGTTTGATATAGAAACACAGTTTTCCTCCCTTTTCATTGTAGCCTATAATGTAGGTTCAGGCTACAGTCACCAATTCCAACCAGTCGCAATCGCGGACCCAGGCACGCCGTGACAAAGCGCCGCCCTCTCAAACCACAACACAGAGCAGGTGATGATGTTGCAGCAGGAGAGGCAGAGGAAACTGAAGTGCAAATTGTCCCCAGTTTGGTAATATTTTGGTTTAGCAAGTCAGACAGAAACCAAACCACAGTGATTTTTAAAATTTGCAGGGAATCGGTAAAAACAAAGTCTGGTAACACAGCCAACTAGTTTTATCATCTATGCTGCTCACACCCAATGGAGAACGAGCTTGTCGACCCCAGTGTGGTTCCTCATCATCGAAGGAATCTTCAGGAACTTCTGCCAAAACAAAGCAGACAAAGCAAGTTTAACTGGGCTTCCTTCTTTGTGATAAATATGACAAAGCATCCAAGTGACAAACGACATCACTCATGTAGTAACATGTTTCATCATGGTTATGCTGTCGTTGTCTGCAGCTGAAAAACCTGGCTTTAAACAGCTGCTCGCCACTCTTACCCCAAAATCCCACATCCTCCGTCAGCGCTCCGCCCCGCTGCGCTCCAGACCGCCTGCGCAAAGCAAAGCCTACAGCCTCCGCCGTTGCTCTTGCCCCGCTCTGACTTCCTTGAAGCTCCAGGAGAGCATGCGCGATATTGTTATTAAATTCATAGGAGCAAAACATGCGGAAAAGAACACTTTATTTAATATGACATTGTTAAAAATAATCCCCATCAGGGTATGTTCAGTTTCTGCTCAAATATTTTCTTTTTGTTGTGGATTTTTGTAACAGGGATAACTAGGATCATACAAAATTGGTTTGTATGAACGATGTTTGTCATCTACTTCCAAACTCAGCATCTCTTCATGCATGCCTGCGATAAGAAGTTTATTTCGAATGGATTTGATTAAACTTTTAATACTCTCGCTATAAAATAAATATTTTGATCGAGATGAGAAAGCTGCTTCCTGGTATGTTGAAGAACCACTAGTTTCCATTTAATAATTTAATTAAACTGCCTTAGTTTTGGGGAATTTATAAGAATTATGCTATCATTTGTAGTACCAATCCATCATTAAAATATTTTAACTTGACAAACCAGATCTTCTCTACATTCTTTTTTCTGTTTGGTGCAATTGCAATTGCGGATCTTGACCCGGCTGGACCGGAATGGAGCAAAAAATAGCTCAGCTCCGTATTTTGATGGTGACTGTAGGAGAAGACGTAGGTGGACGATGACATGCGGAGGAGTAGCGGCGGATGTGGAACAGTTTTCATTGATTAACATGGCGTAGAAGTACTCTGCACGACGTAAGTGAGCGGGGCGGAGCGGAGCTCTGACGGAGTATGTGGAATCTGGGGGTTAATCCGGGATAAAAATTTCCGGGCTGCAAGTTTTTCTCTAACTCAGCACTCCCTAATGTATACAATGAGAGTAGGGAATCAGTGCAAAATGTGTTCAACTACGCCACAACATTGGACCTCTGGTCTAGTCACACATCCCAGCCTTAGCTCAACCTCTCAATTTACTACATAGATTGGAGCATAGAACTTAAAGCTGCAGTCTGTAACATTGAGGAGAGAGCAGACTTTGACTGAAAATTTGAAGAAAAACAGGTTTCACGCCACTCCCTCTCTGCTTCACTCATGCCCCACCTCCAAGCTCCACCCCTCTCACAGCATCTGCGCGGCTACCGCATGCGACCATAAGGGGGGGGGTTGGGATGTGGATTCAGCGTGTGTGAGCTGTGATTGACACTCCATCAGACGCTCCTCTGGCTGTGATTGGTTGTTTTGACTCGTCCCGAATTATTCTTTCCAGATTGAAATACAGGCAGTAGGCGGGACCAATTGAAGCAGTTTTTTTCACAGGTTACATATCACATGTACTGCTGTCTGGGCATAGGGACAGTTTTAGCCAATATGACAAAAAGGTGATTTTTAAAAACTTACAGACTTCAGCTTTAAGAAATAAATCTCTAGAATCTTTTATATAATTGTTGATATCAATCAATATCCATTTTTTTACTATATGCTTTTTTTTCCCTACATCGTCCAGCCCTACTCTGAACTAGCGTTTTGATCTCAGTAGGTTTTGTAAAACATTTGAATTTTCCTGAATGAAATCTGTTTCATGTGTTGAGCCCATATCTATGTACACTGCATCCTGCAGGATCAAACCTGTTAAATCTACAAATTAAAAAAAAAAGAAAGAAAGAAAAGTTTAAATCACGTGTTATAGGTGCCTTAGAGTTTTTAAATCACAACAAACCTAAAATCTTGCCATTTGAACCAGGCTTTACCAGCTCTGAAACAAGGAAGTGGACGTTTCATGGTTTGGGGATGCTTGCTGCTGTACAAATGGACAGCTCAGTATAACAGAAAGCAGTGTAAAGTCCAGAACTTCTTCCTAGGATTACCTTTGTTGTGTTAGAAAATATCGGACCATCTGTAACTGGCTGGGTCCTGGTATGAACCAAAGCCCAGATCTCGCTAGATGCAGTGGGGTAACTTTAAGATAGTCTGAGCATCCAAGAAACCGCTCAGACATTTCAATGCATTAAGTAAGGAGAAGATCAGGTGTTCCTCAGACTGATCTTAGAGTAAAGTAAATAATAATATCTCTATTAGACTGGCTCTTATGGGACAGGGCGCCCTACCACAAGTTAAACAAGGCTGACCCTTTTGCTCACCTATTAAATAGTTTTCATTTGAATAGATGAATAAACAACAGACACGATATAGGAATATAATGAAATAAAATGCAGCCCTGCTTAGTCACCTACTTGCAGAATGTTGGTGAACACAGATACTAAACAATCTGTATGAACCCCATCTACAAAACATCTTAAACAATTTCAGTATTAGGTACTTAAAAGTGCAACATTTCTAGCTAGTCATTGCTGATATGGAAATTGATATATTATATAGAACCCTTACACAAGAAGTAAAATGTTACAAGCCTTTTTTTCCAGGTAATTTGATCATTTATGGCTTACATAAATTGCAAAAGCAACAATTCAGCATCTCAGAGAAATAAAATATAGTGAAAAATCTCATTACTGGAAGCTCATGGTGTCATGCCCTAATCAGCTAATAATTCAAAACACCTGCAAATGTTTGCTGAGCATTGTCACTGTGGGTCAGCAGGCTACAGGATGACGGTGAAGACTGCTGACCTTACAGATGTTCACAAGGACGGTGAGCCACAAAAGGTCAAGTGGGGAAGAAGAGAGAGAGGAACAGGTGGATATGTAAAGTAATTATAATGCAAAACAGATGAAAATTAGATTTTAGAAGTTGGGGGGACACAAGTATTCAATCCAATCACAGACCAGATTCAGTGGCACCTCAGATGTTTGTAAAGTGAGCTTCTCCGGAGTGACAATGGCGACAGCCAATTGCTCAAGAAAAGACGGTGGGCCAATCAGGAGCTTGTGGGCAGTCTAAACTCAGGGAAGTGGGCTTCAGCTTGAACTGTGGTTTTCCGCTTGGTCCTAGTGCTCGACGATTGTCTGTGTACTGTAGCATAAAATTGTTTTTGAACAGTAAAACTTGCAGGGGACAAAAAAGAAAAAAATTGAAAAAGTG